ATTCGTCTGAAAAGCAATCTCCAACTGATTGTGAATCTAGAAATGGCAATCCAAATATATACGTTAAATATTATCCTATTTCTGTATTTTGCACGTACTCCGATGAAAGACCAAACTTTTTTATTGTTCTATACCAAGATTGTCCAAGGTGAAAGACAACCACGAACTTTAGTCAATGGCCAAACATCATTTATTGCATTATATATTGCTATTTCAAAGTCAACATAAATACTTTCTAAATTAAACTCATTATTATAAGTTAAACAATAATTATCAATAATTTGAAAAATATCTACATAAGATTCTCGTTTTTTGTCTTTCAGTAAAGTGAAAACTAAAGGTACATAATTGTTTTTCATTACATGAATTGTGGAAAATTGGTAAAAAAACTTTGTACAGTATACGAAAATGTTCCATCAACGTAAAATGTGGTTGATTTACTTAGAAATTTTAAATTGTCTTCCGTGCTAAATAATAAAATCCCCTTTTCTGCATTATTAACTTGCAAAAATGTATTACGTTCGTATGTTTTTACGTCCATGTCTTTCAAAATATCATGCACCTCTTGTCTACTACGAGGCAAATTTGGTCGTAAAAATGCTTGAGCTTGAAATATATTGTGTTTTATATATGTCACATCTTTGGTTGTAATTGCATTATTGTATTATTTTCCAGGAAATATGAATGTAATAACTTTGAAGGGCGCTCACACAAATTTTCAGTGGCCTTACGTTTCAAATTATCGCTTATAATTTGAGGTTCAATTTTATTTTATTCGTCCACATCGTGCTTATGTTCTAGATTGCATGATGTCCACACGATATCCTCATTTTCCAACACTTTTAAATTGGCAGTGCATCCTCTTTTAGTACATATTTAGTATTTACCGATGTTGGCCATTTTATAGGAGCTTATGAAAACTAAACTTGAATTTATCAACTATCAAAATTAATTTTCCCTTTTCACTTTCGCTTTTTTCACACAGCTGCTAACTTACTTGCTAAAATTCCATTTAAAGTTCCTACCCGTGGAATACGAAACCTAGACCAGTTTTATGTTCCCCATCACTCTACTGCCTATGGTTACAATCATCCACTTCACAGAATGCTCAGAGTTACTAACTTAAATATACCCTAGCTGTTTTGGCTGCGTTCTCAGGCTGATCTTGTTATTTGTACTCTCTAGTTTTTGTTAGAGTTTTTATGCTTATTACTGTTAATTTGTTATCTAATTGTTATTACCTACGTATTGTGTATTATTGTTTAACTGCCGATTGGCGTAAAATATATATAAATAAATAAATAAATAAATAAAATAATACCTACATTACTGTCGTGGTCATCAAATATTAACAACAAAATAAAAGTAGTGTATTATAGGAGCCAATGATAATCGATTATTGTAGTAGATTACCAAGGTTATAGATAATTTATATGATTACCTATAAACCTTGGTAGATTACGATGATTAAGAAGATAAGACTAAATTCAATAATATATATTATAATAGTATAGGGATATCCAGTGCTGTTAAGAGCGCTGCAGAATTGTTCTTATCATGTAGTAATATTAAAGACAACTATTCCATGCTCGTTGGGCAACCATTATATCTTTAATCGTGGTGCAAACTGCCAAGCTATGTTAGGTTGACGTCGTAAAAAGTAAACGTGAACCTATGATATGAGAACTCCTAGTTAAATAATAACATTAATTATAGCCAATTCAAACATACATTTTTCAGGAGCCAATTCAAGGGTCGAATTCATATTTACCCAAAATTGGGAGAAAATTCAATGGTAGCCACCGTTTGGGTACACCATATCTCTAGAAAAATAACACGTTTGGGTACATATGACATAGGTATTAATATAACATTTAGAAACACCTAGAAAAATAACAATTTAATACTTAATCATTAATTTTAAATTTTTAGAGCCTATTAGCGTTATCCAGGAGACACCACGAGGAGGTTGGCTCTATTTAGTCTCCCAAAAATATTTTAGTAAAATGTTCAATTACTTGTCATAGTTTTTAAATTATTATTTATTATATTATTATATACTATTATACCATTATCATTTAGTATATATTATTAACTCTTTGTATATATTACAATTATATAATGTTTTTACCGATAAATATCGGAAAAATTAGGGATAAATATTTTGCAACATCTTTATCGACTTTGTATTCCTCAAATCTGTTTAATACATATTTTATATGTAATAGGTATTATCTATGTCTTCTTTTCTTTTTTTGTTTTGCACATTGCGTTTAATGTTACCTACTTTTAAGTACGATTCTTCTTGAAATTCTAATAAAATATTTATTATTGCAAAACAATTAGGATGGCAAGTATAAAATTGACTGTTAAAATCTCTATTAAAAGCTTCAGGTCCGTTTGTTGTCCTAGGATCCATAGATGGCTCGCCTGCCCAAAAATGAGGCGGAAATAAACTATTTTCATCGAAACACGTGTCTACAATTTACAATACAATCCGTAAAAAGTTCAACATTGGATGGTGCATTGGTCATGAGAGATATAAAACCATCATTAACCTCATTAGAAGGTAAATAACTTGGGGGTAAGCATTTTCGGCCAAAATGTACCCTTTCCTTTTCGGCCACTGTCCCTTTTCGGCCAACACCTACAGTTTTCTTTAAAATATGTAATTACATATATATATTATATATAGGTAACAACTGAACTTAAAAATTTTTATATTTAATTAAACATGATTGTATTCAAAAATATAATTTTTTGATAAACATTATTACCTACAACTGAGTGAAAAAATAATAAAATAAAACAATTGGCAATAAAATGATTTCAGTCAAATAAATTACCTAAAAATTAATTAGATTTTTAAAAATCAAAGCTTTTATAAACATACTCCATCCATAATGAGCTGGTTATCTGTCCTTATTAATGAAGTTCAAACAGATATATACATAAAAATGAGAAGTATTAACATTTTAAAAACTCCTCGTGATGCAAAAAATGTGGAACGACAACGAAGAAACGAAGCTTACATTAAAGGATATAAAAATAGTAAAATATGTCGTTACAAATTTGTAAAGCAAATATCATATAATTATAAAAAGTGAATTTTACTATCATAATTATTTTTTACATAGGTGTTATAAGACTATATTAATTTTTTTTCAACTAATGTAAGTAATCGGAAATCTTAATATTTTGCAATCTATTCATGAATTTATAATAATATAATATAACATAGGTAATCAACTGTAATAATAATAATATGCCAATAATTGTTTTATTTTTTATTTAATTAAATATAAAAATTGTTAAGTTCAGTTTTTATAACTGTAGGTGTTATAACTTAGCAACTGTAGGTGCTGGCCGAAAAGGGAACGGTAAGTTTTGGCCGAAAAGTGACACTGGCCGAAAAGGGAAGGGTATACTTTGTCCGAAAAGGGGGCCGCCCAATAACTTAGACCGAAAAAACTTTGAAGCCACAGGTACACAACTGTTTTTCCAGCATAATGCTTATTTAATTCTTTGTAATTTTTAATACGACGAAACCAGGCTTGATTTAAGTGAAAACGACAACTTACTACTTGACAATTTTCGAAAACTTCCAAAATTGCGTTGTGAGCAGCTTTTTCAAAGTCTAAATGTATCATTTTCAATTGCAATTGTTGCCCTTGAAATTTAAAATATAACTTTTATTTTCAACCAAACATCAGTATACGATTTTTGTGTTTTAGAGTCCATAAAAACAAATATAATTGGCACATAAAATCCATTCAAATATACATGCGTCATTGTATACATTTGAAGAAAATATTTTGGTGCATACGAAAATTGTCCATCAGCATAAACATGCTTTGAACTATTTAAAAGAGACATGTTAGTAGCATTTGTAAAAATAGGTAGTACACTACTTTCCGAATCCATGAAACAAAATGGTTCATTATTTGAAACGAAATCTTTTTTATTTTGAAAAATCATAGCTTTTGCTTCGAATAAAGATTTTGGTTAAAGTAAAAATAATACAATATGTAAAAGTAATAGCATTAACAGAAAAAATAACAGAAGTGGAAACCATTCATTGTTCAATGTCTAATGATAAATAGGTAATTACTACTAAGTATACAGACATTTTGGTTAATTTTTTGAGGGATCACGACACCATTATCTCTTAATAAACGTCAAATTGAGTTACTTATGTCATTATCTGCCATCTGGTAGTGTTATTGTTGAGAAATTTGAAACTTATATATTTAGGCGAAATTGTAATTTTATATGGAAATCTAGGCTATAATTATAATATGAAGTTGTATTTATAAAGTTATTTTGATCCCTATCTATATAAATTTAGAAATCGTAAAGAAAAAAAGATGGGAAAGTGGGTGTCGTTCTGCTGTACAGAAGTTTACAAGTGGATCACTGTAATGGATGGTGTTAAATTTGAATTCAATTATATAATATCATTGTATAAGAAAAACGATTCTGAGCGAAAATGGTCAGTATAGAATATGTCTAAGTAGTAAAGATGATATTATTGTGAATAAAGTAATTTATTTATAACCTATTTACGTGGAACCTTGTTTTCAATCTCTTGTAATGGAAATAATAACAAGTGTAATTTTCTTTGAATTGAGTTATTACCTCATTAACTTTTTTTGTTTTATTACTCGTATTGTGTTAGGTATTTTAACAATATTTTCTTTTTTAAATTATTTAATTGCATAAAGCAATGTACAATCAAAAATACATATAACAAGGATTGATTTTACAATATGAAAATGATCTGAATAGACTCACGAATGTTGTCGGGTAGATACTGGTGGTCGGTTCTCGTGTCCCTTGACTGGTTGTTGCGTGAAGTCTGTGATGAGGTTCGCGTATTTGAATGACGATTAAATGTTAATATTTGAACGATATGACGTAACGGCAGAGTAGGTAGAATTGTTGATTACGATATTATCAACAATTCTACTGCGCGTTCGCGCGTAAGTTAATAATCGTCAATGCAACACGGCGACTCGATCGGCGGCACTGTAACACAGTTGCTCGATCGGGTGTCAAAACTTATAAATTGGCAATGTCCGTACTATTTGTGCTCCCTAGTAAACGGTGAACACCAGATACGGCTAGAAGAAACGGCGGAGGCGGAAAAACGACAATACTGTCCGTACTGTTTGTGCTCCCGTTTGGACGGTGAACACCAGATACGACAAAGCTGTAGGACTGAAACGATACGATACGATACGATTTGGCTGGCTCGCCGGGGTCTATTTACTACATACCCCGGCTGCTTCGGCTTTTGAGAGTTACGATTTTTGTGTGTTGTATTTTGATAATATTTGTTGGTACATTTTCGGAGGACGGTCTCATGACATCGTCAAGTGAATCCTCAGATGATTTTTAACTTGGGGCGTGAATAATTTAGTTGATAAGTTGCGGCCTTTGGTACCTTAATGTCGCTGGTACGCACCGTGCAAAGAGGCAGGCGCGTACCGCGACATCTAGTGCGATTTTATACAATCAATGTCGAGAACAACGCGCGTAGTAATTATGATGTTGTCAGCGAGTGGCGCGTCGTCCGCGAATTCTGTTAAGCTATTTGCAGAAATATGACATAGGTCATTTCGTCTCGTTACACTCTAGCTACAAAAGTTGAACATTTTATAAATTTTTAAATACAAAATAATTATTAAATTTGTCAAAATTCGAACTTTTAATGCTTATAAAAAAAAAACTGTGCCTATGTATTTTTAATATTTTTCAACTGCTATTGTAACAACGTACAAGGAGCCTTGCATTACATTTTCACTCTTTTTTACCCAACAAAACAACTTTTATTGATATTTATAGAAAAAAAACTAAAAAAATTGAAAACTGACAATGTCCATAAACAGCCCAAAAAGAGTCAAAGTATTTTCAAAATTTTATGGTGTATAGAAACTGAAAATATAAACATTCAGTACAATTTTCATGTATCTACAGTTATTCGTTTTTGTATAACAATAAAATAACAAAACCACTACATGAGAAATCAAGTGAATATCCAATATTTTAAAAATATGAATTTCAAACGCTCATAAAAATTTACTTTGATTTCCTTGTAGGTATTTCTTTTTGATAAAGGTAGACAAACTTATGAGGAATCTTGTATAGAGGAAACTTAGCTTAGTTCTGTACACAGACACAAAAATAAAAATAAACACACATCATTGTAAAATCAATACGTTCCACTCAGAATCTAAAAGGGGGTAAGCTTGCTTAGTGAATCATCCTATATAATATATAGGTCTCGTGTCTGTGATGTTATTTTTGTTTCACGTGAGAAACACTGAGATATTTTATATGGTACCCATCTATAATATGTAGTAATGTAGTATAGGTAGGTATTATATAGTGTACATATAGGTAGGTATGTATCAGTTAATCACTGTCTCTCTGCAATTTGGGAAGGAGCCCTGGAGTATAGTATAAATTTATTGCATGGGTGGGCAGCTAGGTAATCCTAGTCCCCGACCAGTCTATACTTTATTGTACTGGCATCTGATTTCAAATATGTATAATATGTACCTATACATTTTTACAAATTTGTCGAATGCGTGCCTATATTTACATACTTGAATTCGAAAATATGGAACGAGTAACTGCGATTTTTTTACAACCGCACGTTCCTAAGTATTTTTTAAAATGAAGATTTCGTTATCTGGAATCAAATTATATTTTCTTCTCAAATAGTGTTCTGAGTTTTTAAAAACCGATATGATTTGTTCGTTTTGTCAAAGTGTTTATCGCTTTTTGATCTTCGAAACATATATATATATATATACTTAGGTACCTTCGTACTTCGTAGAGACAGTATATTGTTTCTATATAATATATTCGTTTATTATTATATTATACTAGCTGATCCTGTGCACTTCGTTGCCCGTTAAATGTACGAACTCTATATTATGACTCAAACTTTGTTCAATTCGTTATTTAATATTCGGTGTATGGTGTTCAAAATGTATCTTATTTTTTCCGTTGCCTGGAATAAAAGTTCTGATTCACAGCAGTATATCATCAGGTATAGGCAATCTACTTGATCGCGGACCCCGTATTGTTTGTACTTATGTGTATGATTTAACTCTAAAGTATCAAAGTTATACCAAGTTTATTGTATTCCACCTATGGTGGATTAATATAATCAATTAATACAAAATCCTAACATAACCTAACCGTATTAATATCAGAAGAATAAAAAACACCAAATTTAACTATTTCTTAAATTAGCCTGTCTTCTTTCCAGAGGTCTAATCTACACACAAACATTCATTTATATATATATTGACAAAAAATAATAATACAAATCAAGAAACATGCCCGGTTAACCAATAGCAACCAATAATATATACTACACCGTTGCGCTACTGTTGTATTTTTTACATCCAGATTTCCTACTTTTCCCAACATTTTCTTTCATAAAAACCTTCTTATGGAAATTTTACGAACATCTTAAAAAAAATTTGAGCCAAATCGGACCAGCCGTTTTCGATTGATGAGGTAACGTAGATTTTTCACGCTCCATTTTTATATATAGATTATTAATAATTTAAAATTCTTTTATCTCATGCACTATGCACAATGCATATTTGTAGTAAGACATTATCTAAAAGTTCTTGGCTAATATCATTTAATCATATTATTCGGTTAATGCTTGGTTAATCCAAAAATTAATAATATTCATGGCGGCTAATGATAACATAATATGGCTAATGTTGTGTTATCCGTGGACCGTGATCCGTCTATTGTCGAAATTATATAAATGTTAAACATTACCCGTAACGTGAACACGGCACTACCTATGTAATGAACATAAGTCTCAAAACATAACATATCAGACGTATAAGTATTATAATATTTATAGTGATCCCATTACAAGGATTATGCAACTGCAAACTGTTGCTTTAATTTTTTGACTTTTTAGTTTTGTATGTTGGCTATAAATACATATTTTAGACATATTCGTATCGTTATTTTGAACCATGCAAGGTATACATTTGCATGTTTAAAATTAAATATTATTGTGATTAAATTAGTTAACCTGAATAATGGATAAACTCTAGACAGGGTTTGTGGCTATTACATAAAAATATGCGTATTAAAAAAAAAAAAAATTAAAAAGACGGCAGGATTCAACAGCAAAATGCATAATATTAAATGAATAAAGAGTTTGGAGTGCTTGGACGTTCAAAGTTTTGTAATATAATCATAATATTCACAATTTTTTTCAAATTTAGTTCATTGATACCCGAAACAGTTAACTGATAGTTGTATAAACCTACATATTAAATTATTAAAAAAAAACCGAAAATAAATTTTGTACATTATTAATTAATCATTGAATCATTAGGTACAGTATTATAATAATACACACATAAGTACATAACCTATACGTTTTAAGTTTTAACCACGGACTAAGATATAATAGACTGGAAACGAGCAGCTTATCAGTGGCCTCGAAAGTATGTACAAGAAGCAAATGCGGGGGGTCGCAACCATAATCCAGAGTTTACAGCGCCATCTGTATAAAACACGGACTGAGATACAAAATATGACGCTAAATAAAACCACTGGTAGCGCTGAAAACTTTCGATTCTGAGTGTTGATGATAACAGAGGAACCTTTTGCGGGCCGTCCCTCGTCACCCGCCCACCTTGTCGTTTCCAGTCCATTATATCTTAGTCCGTGGTTTTAACTATGTATATTAATTATTGGTATATATTTTTGAAATCAGTAGGTACCTACCTACTAGTTACTATATTTATTATTTATTATACTATAAAAACCATAGGTATTGACATTGAATAGATATGAGACATAGTTTTGGAATTTAGACGTATTGTACCTACAAGCTGGCTGCATACGAACCGAGTACCAATAAAACCTTTTAGAACGAATCGAGTCCCTTGTTGTTTTAAGAAATTCAGTCAAATTAAAAAAAAACACATTCCATCCCATTTTTTCAGACATAGTATAACTGTCGACTTTCCGTAACAAAAAATTCTACAGGCATGTTTAAAAATGATGTTAATTTTGTAAAATTTGATTAATGCGAGAAATAGAATATTATGTATAATTCGGTTGCTACTTGTTTATGAATAAATACATATTATGTGTACCTAATGATTAAATTAAATTTATTATATTGGTAGAAATATATGAGATTAACTTTGTATATTATATTCAAATTGTACGGTTGATTAATATAGTATTATAAATATAAATATTTTACTCAAAATAATCTTAGTACTCAATTAGTATATTTTTGGTTTAATTAAAGTTTATTGTTTTTTACTCGTTCAGGTATGGAGACTAAATAAGTACTCACCGGTACTAGATGTCTAGTGTTAGAAAATACTATTAAAATATCATTACGAAAAGTACCTGTAATACCACCTAGTAACTATTATAAATCATACAAACCAGGCAAGTGTATACACTATACAACCTGTGCATTGGGTTGACTACTCACCGATTGTTCCGGAGTATAAAATAAACACGAAGTAACTGAATAGAACAGAATACAATACTATAACTATACTGTCTACTAAGATCAAAACCCTAAGGTATACACAATTAAGAATTCGATAGGTATGCGTAGCCTGGAAATACATAGGTAGTAGGTATCTACTGTATTGTTTATGAACTTAGTAAAAGTAAAACAATAGATTCATCAGAACAAAAATCATAGTTTAAATTTATTTTCATAAGTCATAATGTTTGTATAATTATATAAATCGATAAGTCGTATAAGTAACCGGTGGTCGGTAACATTTCAAGTAAATTTTGTTGTTTATATTAATAATTCAGGTCGAAATCGAATAGCCAGGTACCCTAACATGTTGCAATATAGATGTATGCATCTGGTTGCTTGTTACCATCACTGTGAATTCTGCAATATCCAATAATTATTATATAATTTAATATATTGAAAAATATCTGGTCATCTAACATCTAACATCCCAACTTAAACTGGTCTTCTTCAGTGGCGAACTTACGGGGGAAGGGTTCAATGGGGTCTGGGCCCACCATTGGCCCCATATATACCTAAATATAAAGATCTAATATATTCTGTAGCGGAGTCTAGCTGGAGCCTCTAATTAAATGTATTTGGAAAATTAACTGGATATCCTTCATGAAAAATTCCTAAATACGCCACTGGTCATTTGATTGATTGATATAGCGGTACGAATTATTGATTGTCTACTTCAGGTTGATAAGTCACTGACCTTTAGTCGTCGCGATAATTGGATTAATAACTGCATGTTCATTGCATAATATTCATTATTGTATATTGCGACATCATATACACGAGAGTTTGATAAATATTTGTTAGGAATAGCTAGTATTTAAGAAAAATTATGACAAATTTTAAATTTACAACGATTATAGTTAGAATTATGAATAATAATATTTTCAATAATTTGAAAACATAAAATATGAATACCAATATAGAGATACGTTTTATTGCTTTTTTTTTATTTGACGACCAATTTCAGGTAACTAATTTTATTGTGACCAATTGACATGAAATCAGTTTACTCAATACATAGGTACCGAAATTCTAAAGAATAATTGTTTTGAATGAATTTAAATTTGCAAGTCTGACCATTGATATAGTCCAACACTCGCACGTAAACACTCCTATGCGTGGGTATATTATGTAATATTGGCTCGTAAGTCAATATACATATTACAATATTATTTCAATGATAAATAATCTGTCAAGCGCCCTTTTTTTCCCTTTGGATTATCGTCAGCCGTTGCCGAAAACTTGAAAACAATAGAAGATTTAATTTTTGACCGTTTTTCATTAAGTTATTTCTAAAAGAACTAGAACTGCAGTTATCCTAACCATGGGGTGCGATTGATGCTGGCTCGAAGATGAGGGTCATCTATAATTGGCTAGACATGGGAAATAGAGGAAAATCAGACAGCTGCGTTACAAGCGTTAATATATATTTTTAAGATTTCTGCAGTTTTGACCGTCGAGGGATTTGAAAATAAGTGTCAAGCTCGAATTGTCCACAAGAAATTATATTGTCTTTTGTGGTATCGGAGAGGATGCTATTATTCAGGATATTATTCACCCCTAGTTGTACACACAAAAGAGTCGTCAAATGCGACGTCTGTCATATATTATAATATTATATGATTATCTGCTGCTCAAATTGGCTCGATCCGGTCAAAACAGATCTTAAGTTTTGAGGGTGCTAAAATGATACGAAGCTTACGATACAAATTACTTTATTGAGTTCGCATTCGTTTATTCTGCACAATATTTGTAATAATAATAAATATAAAATAAAAAACTTTATTACATAGATATAAGACTATTAATAAGTTACTATATTAAAGCAATAATTCTCCTGTCTTCTTCAGTTACAAAGTATGTATTAATAATAATATTTCCAGTTCTTTTTCAATATTTAACAGTGATACCAATCCAATTTAAAATCGTTCTTGTATCATGATATATAATATTATAGTCCGTATAGGTACATTTTTTTATTTGTATTTGAATTATTCAAATTACTACACTAAAGTCACTAGTATAATTAATTAAGTTATTCGAAGGAGCTATATGCACTTCCTATAGCTACCACTTTGTTGCGAGTTTACGGCTTGGTCGGACACTCCGTACCAAATACCGAACATTTCATAACCTTAAGAATTGAGATAAAGTCGCTCAATTACTTATTACTGCATATTAGGCATATTGTTATTATTATTACGTTCAGTTATACTTTAAAGGTTTTCGAAGGAAAAATTGACCGATGGTATACATAATGACCATATGGAATTATTTTATGAAAACAATAATTTTAAGACGCCCTATACGTATTATACGGTTATTACGTTTTTATTATAAAAACACAACAAAATATTGTTGGGAGAATACGAACGTTACAAAGTTATGACGAAGTTAAAATAATATTATTTTGTAGGTACGACATATTTCATTTTCCGCCATTCCGTCGTAGGCACGTCTTTTAGTCGTCCGACGGCGACGGGAATGTGTTTCCAACGTACGCTACGACCACCACGGGCGTACTGTCGCCACCGGAGCCGCCGGAGCAGTCGTCCGCGCCACCGCTACCAACGCCGCCGCTGTATGTCTGGGCGCCGAAGCGGGCCGCCACCTCGGCCAGGTGTCTGGCCGGCTCGACGTGCACGGCCAATTCGGCCGCCTCGACTGCGCCGCTGTGCTTGCAGTAGGCCTCGGCCGCGGCCAGGTCGTAGGCGGCGCGCTTGGCGCCTTCGTCGCGGCCATCGCCCGCCGTGGCCGCGGACATCCAGTGTTCCAGGTCCAAGCCGAACAGCGCGGAGTTGATAGCGCCGGGCTTGCGGGCCTTGCACGACTTGAACGCGGGCACCGCGTCCGTCAGGTGCTTGACGTCGCCCTCGGCCGCCGCGCCACCGCCGCCGTCCTTCCGCTGCCTGAGCATCGCGGCGGTCAGCAGTCGGTCAGCGCGCTTTATCGGCGAGTTGCACATCGACGCCGGGTCGGCGCAGTAGTCTTGGGCGGCGGCCGGTGTCTCCTGCGGCCCGTCGGCGGGCGACGACGTCAGCAGACACTGGCAGTGACCACGCTCGAGGTCCTTCTGCAGTAGTGGCCCGAACGTGTCGCTGCCGACGTCGGCCGGACAGCACGCATCGCCCCGTGAACAGAACATCCGGTCGTACAGCTCCGTCAGCGCCTGGTACTCAGCGTCCTCCTCGGGGATTTCCTCGCATTCGACCGTCTCCTTGCATGGGCCACACGACATGACTTGGTTGTATACGCAATTTGCTGTGACTACGATGAAATATTAATAATATATCGTTATTAGACTATTGTCGATCGGGGGTAACGATAATACGACTAACGCAACAACGATGTGACGATATAATAACAATATTTAATATTATATTAATATTATTTCGTCCATCGTGTTGCAGCTCGCCGTGACGATTTATAAATTGATGATATATGAGAGTTTTTTCAGAAATATAGGTGAACACTCCTTTTATGTTAAGTATACCTATAATATTATCGTGTGGTTATCCAAGAATAGTGTGTTTCTAAGAATAAATGTCAAAATATTATACAAATCAAATTTTGAACGAGTTTAATTATTTGACTATAATATAATTTATTCTATCTATTACAAATACGAATTACTTATATGGATATATAAATATATTATTTCTGAAATTTAGTAGAGCGTTTTACAGTGCACAAACAATTGTTATTGCAGCTTCAGTGTTCGATTTATAGCGTTGATTATAATATAAATACATACTTCCTTTTTGTTGAGAGTCATCGAATTATTTGATTAATATTTTATGAACATCGTACGGACAATCGTCAATTATATGGTTGTTGGACGTCGGTACAATTTCACGCTAAATCAGTGAGCCCAGGCTAAGTGCGATAACAAACTAGTTCCGGAATTCGAAATTAAAGATGCATACAATCTAACAATAAAAACTTAGTATAAACAATCAATATTATAATAATTTATTTGTATTTTGTTTTCAATAATATTGTTTTGTAATGCATAATGCATATGTAAAAAAAACATTTCCAAAAACTTAAATATTTTTATTTTGAGAATATGATACCTTGAAAATAACCATCAATTAGTCTTACCCCATACGATAAATAATTAATATTACATGTTGGCGGGTATGTTATTATTTAATACGATAATATTATAAACATTCTCGCTGTTTTACATAAATGTAAAGAATTAATTAAATTAATAAGTAATTACATTTACAGTTTAGTTTGAAATGTATTTCCATGTAAGTATTTGATCTACGACCTACGCTGGGTTAAATATTGGTAATATTTGTGTATAGTGTATGTGTTTGTAAAATTAGGAAAATGTTACTTTTTCAAACTTAGGTGTTCGCGACATACCTGTTGATAGCTTTTTTAATACAAATTTTACTTTTTTAGAATTTTGTGTTAAAAGTATTTCCGAGCGACATTCAAAACCAAGGTAGATAGTTTACGGCACCTTCAAGTAATAATTTTGACAAAAAAATTGTCAAAAATGATTGTTCTTACTATAGGAAAAGAATTGAAAACAGTTTTTAAAACGATGTTTATGTTACTTCGATTTTTGAAAGGAAGGAGCTTATTTTAACTCCCCGAACAGCGTTATACTATATATATTTAAATGGCAATCTTTAATTTGATAAATAACATTTGGAAAATGCTACTTTTTCAAACTATATAGCGATATACCTGTTGATGAAAAATTTACTTTTTTAGAATTTTGTGGTGGAAGGATTGCCGAGCGAAATTCAAAACTATAAGCTGGATAGTTTACGCCACCGTCGAGTAACCATTTTAGTTGAAGCTACACATGTACTACAGGTTCGCCTCCACTGCTTATACTGCAAAACATATAGCCCTCCCATTAATCAATTACAAAAGTTATGCTATTGGATTGCAGCATTTGTAAAAATGCATATGTTTTGACTATTATCATACATAACATGATATATTATATACTTATACAAACTATATTGATTGGGTATAAATTGTGAAAATGAAAATATAAATATACAGCAATAGTCTCGATAACGTGAATTAAATCGTGTCAGTAAAAATACAGTTGAAACCACATGTGTTTCCGATGCGGTATATCTCCACGATTTTACGGTTCCAAACCAATAATTTTCTAATTTTTTATGTGCCTCTGATTATTATAATTAATGAACTTAAGTAAATCAATGGCTCAATAAATGTATGTATTTTTTTGTTTGCATTTTTACAGTGCATTTTAATAATAAAATTGCTGTGATCCCACGGCGTTATAAATAGGCTATTCTGGTGCACTACGGTCGTGGATCCAATTTTCTAATAACTTATGATATTCTTTTAAAAACATTTTTTCAATCATTTCAAAGATATTCTTAAGGTAATTGCAAAGTAAGTTACTATAAATAGCAAAGATAAACATAATTCTATAAGAAATTAATTATAATCCTTCGATTTTTATTAAATAAGAAAATAGTTGTTTTGTATAATGAGAGAGATTAAATTTTAATCATAGATCTTTTTCCTAACTTTTGATAAAACTTTTTAGTATACAATTATTAAATAACCCTACATTAATAATTGTACGTTATTATTTTCTATTTTTATTTTTGTTTTAAAATATAAATAATAATGAATTTTTCCCGTTGAATATAATATTTTAAGTTGTTATCTTTCCGCTACTATTACCTGTTGGAAATACATTATGTATATTAGAGCAATAAAATTACATGTTGACTCTAACAAAATTATTGGGTTTTAATTTTAAATATGTTTTATATTCCTACTTACATTTGATGCAATATTTCAATTTACTTACAAATATTATTAAATATAATATGATAAAAACCGCGAAAATATTGTTTCATTGTTAGCGTCAAATGCAGACTCACGGTTGAACTGGTATCTGATTTAATACATTTGTTATTAACTTTGAGTTAGTTTTACCCATATTTAAATATTATAATATATTCATGAAATTATTGTCTGATTTATTTTACATTAAGTGTGCCGCACATTGACTGGGATGCTTTACCACAAAGATAACGTAAAAATCTACTCGGTAGATAATACTACCGAAGTCGTATCATAAATTAGAGTATTTTTCAGCATAGTCGGAGTGAGTCGGACACGTCGGGGGGTGAATTGAGTGTGTTTATCGATAAGTATGCGAAAACGACGACGAGTTTAATCCCGGCTAGGGTAGTTGGTATTGGTAATATCACGTCATCCGGTCATCCCACTTTCTAAATCCCTGCAGTCTAAACGTTTGCCATACAAAACGAATAAATATCAAAAATATTAAAATAATAATAACTTGATGAGACGTAGTATTTATTTATTTTATATTATGTCGGCGAGTCCTCCTCGGACAATCGTGAAAATATTTACGAATGTTTGTGATTATAATGTCTGCACGGACCGACGGACACGACGGCCAATGGAATACTAATGAGTAATGACTTATGTAATATATTCCGAGAACATTATAGTGACTACAGCACACACACACACACACACACACACACACACACACACACACACACACACACACACACACACACACACACACACACATATATATATATATATTTTATATATTATATAGTTTACACATACGAAATACGTAGATATATACAATGTTGGCAGCGCCGTGCGGTGGCGGCGGCGGCACTCCAGTTCACCTGTTCTCCGCGTCGTTCCCGCCGCGCGGCCGTTCCAGCAGCCATCCGAGCCACTCCATGTGAGTAGTCCTTCGGATGCTCTGGTACTGTACGCCGGGCGCGTTTATTTTTATTATTATTTAGTGGCTTATTATTAAGTTAAGTTTTTTGATTTTTTTTTAAATTTTATATCGGTATTGGCGTTCATTATTTTTGTAAATCGTTTCTACGTGCGTGTGTGCGTGCGTGTGCATATGTGTGTGTGTGTGTGCTTGTGAGTCTGTGTGTGTGTTTAAAATATTTACGTGATTAGTAATTATTATTATTTTTATATTTGACGGACGGAAAAATTACGAAATACCCAATGTACAGCAGAATATCCGCGTCTTTGTTGCTAAAGTGGTGGACCCAGTCGTTGTGATCGAGGTTAGTCCATTGAAAAATAAAAATATTAGCAGTATTTTTTTTCATGTTATCGACAAAGATAACTAATTTTTACGCAATTAAATGCTTCAAAATAATAATTAGGTATTATACTTTGATTGTCAGTATATAGGGATATCGGTATATATAGGTAGGTACTCTTACATATTATTATATAAGCAATTAGACAAAAATGTTTGATGGATCATCTTAATTTTGATTATCTTCAGATTTATCATATAAATAAGTCTAGAATACTGTTCTACATTAAATATTTATCTTAACATTAAAAGAAATGATTATTTATTATATTATAGTTTTATTCATGCGTATAATAATATACAGTCAATTACTATTTCATTTATATAATTACCCATTGAATACATATTGTATCAACTAGGTTCAATATAGATAATATATAATTATTATAAATATTTAAATAACGTTTATTCTTAATAATTTAATATTATATTTTTATGAAAATTATTAATATTTATAAAAAAATAGAATTTTTTAGATTGTTTTAAATTTATTAACATATTAGAAATAAGTACTGTAATATTAGTAATCACTAATCATCTTTACTTTTTAAAACATTTTATTTTAATTTAATATTCTTAAAATATAATTTATACTTCAGAATATCTGAATTAAACGTTAAATCCTTTAGTAATGCAATACAAGTTTTTAGATGCACAGAATGTAAATTAATAACGTATAAACGCAAGTGTACAGAATAAATTAAAATAATATCAGTATCTTTATAGGTATTGTCTCTTTAGTGATAGGTTTTATGTTTCAGTTTATTTCACATTCTTATAATGTGTTATATCTACAAGTATTATATTAATACTTGTGGAGTTGTAGTGATACGGAAAACAATAGGTTTATTAAATAAAAATCATTACCAACCTTATGTATATTTTCTGAACATAATTAAGTAAGAGATTTTACTTATAATATAAATCAATACCATGTTATGATTTATGACAACGAGCACCATTTAACATTTTGTTGGTTAAAAATTAAAATGCTTTGTTGAGAAAATTTTTTTACTCCTTTTATATTCATTTTTTTCAATAAGTATGACAGTTCTTTTCATAACAGTGTAAAAGGCGAGTTAGAGTCATATAATAATAAAATATAA